TTTTAAATTAAAAGAACTATACAGAGTAGACCAGGTGCAGCCTCACCAACACTCTTGTACAGTTGTAAAAAGACTTCCCTGTTTTTAAACTCTAACTCCCTAGCAATAAAGGCAAAAATTCCACCTGCCTTTTTAATTACTTGCTGCACTTGCATGCTGACCTTTTTGTGTTATGTACAAGAACGCCCAGACCCTTTTGTGCTGCACATTTTTGGAGTCTCTCTATATTTGAATAATAGTCAGACTTTTGATTCTTCCTACCAGAGTGCATAATCTCACACTTTTCCACATTAAACTCCATCTGCCAAGCTTTTAACAACTACCAATCTATATCAAGAACAAAAACAAAGTTGCCTACCCCACACACCAGACCTTGTTACCACATAGCCTGCCATTACACACCACTTATTATTAGTCACTAATAGTCCCCATTAACAACTATTCACCCTCCCCGCCTGATCATTATCAACTCTTTGTCTATCCAACTGCTCTTCTCTCCCTTTAGGCTCTATCCTATAGTTTACTCCCTACCCCATCCCCCTTGCTTTTTTCTGCATATAAACTGACTTTTTCGAAGCCACCATCAGTTCTGAGGAAGGGCTCACCGCACGCGAAACGTTAACTCTGTTTTTCTTTACAGATGCTGCCAGACTTGCTGAGCTTTTCCAGCATAACAAGGTGTAGAGCTGAATGAACACAGCAGGCCAGACAGCATCAGAGGAGCAGGAAAGCTGACGTTTCGGGTCTGGACCCTTCTTCAGAAATGGGGGAGGGGAAGGGGACTCTGAAATAAATAGAGAGAGGGGGAGGCGATGATAGAAGGTGGATAGAGGAGCAGATAGGTGGAGAGAAGACGGACATGTCAAGGAGGTGGGGATGAGGCTAGTAGGTAGGAAGTCGGGGTGGGGGTTGGTCAGTGAGGTGGGAGGAGCAGATAGGTGGGAGAAAAGACGGACTAGTCAAGGAGGCGGGGACGAGATGGGCTGGTCTTGGGATGAGGTCGCGGGTGGGGGGATGTTGAAGCTTGTGAAGTCCACATTGAGACCATTGGGCTGCAGGGTTCCCAAGCGGAATATGAGGTGCTGTTTCTCCAGCCTTCGGATGGCACTGGAGGAGGCCCAGGATGGACATGTCGTCCAAGGAGTGGTAGGGGGAGTTGAAGTAATTGGCGACTGGGAGGTGTTGTTATTTGTCACGAACCGAGCATAGGTGCTCCACAAAGCGGTCTCCAAGCCTCCGCTTGGTTTCCCCGATGTAGAGGAGTCCATATTGGGAACAGCGGATATAATATACCACATTAGCAGATGTGCAGGTGAACATCTGTTTAATGTGGAAGGTTTTCTTGGGCCTGGTATGGAGGTGATGGGGGTGGTGTAGGGGCAGGTGTAGCACTTCCTGTGGTTGCAGGGAAAAGTGCCAGGGGTGGTGGGGCTAGTGGGAGTGTGGAGCGAATGAGGGAGTCACAGAGAGCGTGGTCCCTCCGGAAGGCAGATAAGGGTGGGTAGGGAAATATATCCTTGGTAGTGGGGTCAGATTGCAGGGGCGGAAGTGGCAGAGAATGATGTGTTGAATCCGGAGGTTGATGGGGTGATACGTGAGGACAAGGGGAATTCTGTCTTTGTTATTATTGCGGGGAGGGGGTGTGAGGGCTGAGGTGCGGAAAATGCGAGAGATGCGGTCGAGGGCGTTTTCAACCACTGTGGAGGGGAAATTGCGGTCCTTGAAAAACGAGGACATCTGGGATGTCCAGGAGTGGAATGCCTCATCTTGGGAGCAGATGCGGCAGAGGCGAAGGAATTGGGAATAGGGGATGGCATTCTTGCAGGAAGGTGGGTGAGAGGAGGTGTATTATAGGTAGCTGTGGGAGTCGGTGGGCTTGAAATAGAAATCAGTTTCCAGGTGGTTACCAGAGATGGAGACAGAGAGGTCCAGGAAGGAGAGAGAGGTATCAGAAATGGTCCAGGTGAACTTATGGTTGGCATGGAGGGTGTTAGTAAAGTGGATGAACTGTTCGAGCTCCTCGTGGGAGCACGAGGCGGCGCCGATACAGTCATCGATATAACGGAGGAAGAGGTGGGGCTTGGGGCCAGTGTATCTGCGGAAGAGGGATTGTTCCACGTATCCTACAAAGAGGCAGGCATAGCTTGGGCCTGTGCGGGTACCCATGGCCATCCCTTTTGAATGTAGGAAGTGGGAGGAGTTGAAGGAGAAGTTGTTAAGGGTAAGGACAAGTTCGGTTAAGCGGATAAGGGTGACGGTGAAGGGGGACTGGTCAGGCCTGCAGGAGAGGAAGAAGCGGAGGGCTTTTAGGCCATCTGCATGGAGAATGGAAGTATATATATTGAGGACCAGGGAATTGGAAGTTTTGGAGGAGGTGGAGGGCATGGGTGGTGTCACGGACATAGGTGGGGAGTTCCTGGACCGGGGCGGGGAGAAAATGGAGTCGAGATAAGTGGAGATAAGTTTGGTGGGGCAGGAGCAGGCAGAGACAATGGGTCGACCAGGGCAGTTGGGTTTGTGGATTTTGGGAAGGAGATAGAAACAGGCAGTGCGGGTGTGGGGAACAATGAGGTTGGAGGCTGTGGGTGGGAGGTCACCTGAGGTGATGAGGTTATGGATGGTCTGGAACGTGCAGCCCTCCGGTCTTTACAGAGCCACACTATAAAACCCACTGACAAGGGAGGCACAGTTGTGGTATGGCGCACTGACCTCTACATCGCCGAGGCCAGGCACCAAATCTCTGACACCTCCTCCTATCGCCCCCTTGATCATGACCCCACCCCTGACCACCAAAACATCATCTCCCAGACCATCCATGCTTTATCCATAAAATGTAAAATTTTACGTCTAGACGCAGTTACTAAAGCAGTTCAAATCTGTACAGTTTTTGCACGCAGAGAAGAAAACAAACTGGGGTTTGACGATCTCGATAGTTACAATTAATCTGAAGTCATTTCGTAATTATGCTAAGTACGAGGAGCTATCTACATGTATCTGAGGCATCAGGAGGGTCCGATAACTGAATGGACCCTTGTTGTACTTTGGCAAAAAGACCTTAGATGGTGGTCTTTCCCCATTGTGCCTTGGCGACATCTGTCCCAAGCTTTAGTGCTTCCCTCAGCACGTAGCTCTGGACCTTGGAATATGCCAGTCTGCAACACTCAACTGGAAAACCACCATGTTTCGGGCAGAGTTGATTGTCTTTCAGGTGCAGTTGATGTTTGTCTTGGTGTGTCCCCCCAGGGAACAGTGTCACGGAGCTGCTCGGGATGAACCTTGACAATAAAACAACTACATTTCTCTTCAGACATTCCTTTGCAAAGGCACATTCCAGAAGGAGATGTGTGACAGTCTCTGCCTCCCGCAGCCACTTCAAGAACAGCTTGTAGTGGTGCTGAGAGTCTGGGCATACATGAAGGATCGCACAGGTAATGCCCTTCTCACCACCAGCCAAATGACGTCTTGGTGCTTGTTGGAAAGTCCTGGCGAAGAGCCGTTATGCCAAATGACAAAGATCAACCATCTCCTTTTCCCGAAGGGTCTTGAGGAAGCTATGTGTTGACCACTACCTGACAGACTTGTGATCAAGGGTGTTTTTCTTCACAAATTTCTCTACGAGGGACAGGTGATACAGAACAGTCCAACTACTTGGAGCGTTCCATGGCAATGAGGCCAGACCTATCCTTCGTAAGACATGGGATAGGTAGAATCTCAGTAAGCAGTGACATTTGGTGTTTGTATACCGTCATCTATGCACAGCTTGACGCAGCCAAACACAAAGGAGGCCATCAGGATGAAGGTTGTGTTAGCTACATTCTTCCCCCACTTTGTCCAGCACTTTATACATGATGTCCCTTCAGATCCGGTCTATCTTCAACCTCCAAATGAAATAGAAGATGGCTCAGGTGACTGCAGCGATGCAGGTCGTAATAGGCCAGACCTGTGCAACATACAACAACACCAAGACTGCCTCACACCTGATGACCAGGTTTTTACCTGGTGGTGCTTCCATCTGCCCAGTTTATGCCTCACCTTGGTGATACTTTCCTCCTAGGTTTTGACACATGCCCCAGCCCCTCCAAACCAAATACCCAGCACCTTCAGGCAATCTGTCCTGACACTGATGGGGATAAAGGATCAGTAGGCCCAGTTCCAAAAGAACATGGCCTCGCTCTTGCCTCGGTTTAACTTGGCTCCCGAGGCCAATTCAAACTGGTCCCACACGGTCATGAGTCTGCACAAAGTCGCTGGATCCGAGCAGAAAACAGCAATGTTACATGTGATAGGTAATGTTACAGCAAAACTAAATTCGAGCGCAGCAATGCACAAAAAGAACGTTTACTGTAGTCATCGACTACCTCTTTGGGTCACACAAATGACCTTTAATTTAAATTAAAAATATCCCGAGCCCTTCAGGCAATGTAACACACTCGAAGCCATTTCTGTGATTTGGGTTTCCTGAAAGTCAACTAAATATAATGTCCACGGGTGTACATGTAGATACCAGTGCGATGGCCAAAACACTGAATGCAAATGATTGAATGAAATATCACGTTCCCGCACATTTGATGACTTCCACAGACAAACGAGTGAACACTTTAAAGAAATGAACGTGTGGTGACAAGATCTGAACAAGGCAAAGGGTTTGAGTAGTGATGTTGTATTGTCCATTGCAATTGAAAATCTTTCCATTTAAAGATCCTTTTTTTTTGCCCCTGTTCAACCATCGAGCTGATTCACAGGCAGCCCGCAGCGGAGGCTACCAATACGGCGGCTCAGGAGTGAAAGAAAGAAAAGCCTTTAAGATAGCCATTACCTCAACCTTACAAAAGGCAGAAAACGCTCAAGTAGGAATTTACAACGCGAAGGCCGGTAAATAAAAGTTTGCGTCTCTCAGTGGTAAATCGGACAGTCAATTTGACTTTGGTTGCTATGTGGAATCTCCCCCATTTGCAAGCCGGCGATGGTTGAGTCCGCGGGCGCGGTCACGTGCTTCTCCCCGCCCCGCCATTTTGTTGGTAGTTTGTATTTAGGGTCGGGCAGGAGCAGAGCTTCTCTCTGTGTAACTGGAGGCGGTGTTCGGGAAGAGCGGTTGAGGGAATCGAGAAAGAGGAAAACGAAAGCATAACGCTAGACGGGGAGAGGAGACGAGAAAGAAATAAGACGTCAAGCTGTCCGCTTTGCAGAATCGCCGGTAGTTAGTATTTCACACGAGTAACTGACAAGATGTCCACTCCCGAAGTTCCCGAATACTCTCCCTTCTTTGCGGTAATGGGCGCCTCAGCTGCAATGGTTTTCAGTGGTGAGTCTTGTTTGCCTTTTCCAAAGGGAATGGAAGGGCTGCCTGTTACCAACCATTTCATTGGCTCTTACCCTCCCTTCGAAAAGAGGGGGCTCAGTTCGCTAGCTTATTTTGTGTATTTCATTGTGAAATGACCACGATTGAGCCTAGGTTTTATTTATTTATTTATTTATTAATTAATTAATTTACTTATTTATATATAAAACCCCTACTGTGTACGGCTTGCTGCGGCTGACGGAGTTTCCTGCAGCGGACACTGTGGTCTGCGTAGATCCTTCTCTAGCTACCGCCGCACGAGCCACCGGCTTGCTGGGTGTCGCCGTTCGGGTATTTCCGTTCCGTAACAACCCGTGGTGCGTTATGGCTTTGGGTGGACAATGGATGAAAAGGAGGGTTCGGCAATTCTCGACAAGGACAGTCCCGAGTCGTCATATGACTGGGGTGCGGGTGTTAGCGTTGTATATACGTGGACTGCAACATTTTTTTCTTTACAGCTAATTGGAAACTATCTCCGAAGGATTTCAAAAGATAAAAGCGTTCTTCCCTTCTTCCCTGCCCAATCTTGTATTAAAGACATTCCGTGTCATTGCAGTTAATTCTTGGGCTATGTTAATTTCCAACGGTTTTGCGTTTTACACCATCTCAAATTGAGTTTTTTTGCCCTACAGAAAATCTAAAACGTAACTTTATAACCGTCTAAAATATGGTTTTAATGTTAAAAGCAAATTAATTCGCTACCGATTAAGCAGAATTTTTCTGCTTGTCGTTTTTCAGCTTTGTAAAGTAACTGATACTGCAATGTGGTTTCACGGGTAAATGTAATAAGGTAAGAACTGAAAGTGGTTTGTCCGGAAATATACTAGGGCCCATCAAAGTTGGACTTTGTCCAGGAGCATAATTCTGCTTGGTTTGCCCAGTATTTCCATCCTCTTAATTTAGAGTCTCAATTTTATTCTTGATGCTGTGGATGATCAGTTGGTGAAAGATTAAAGCAATCTAAATTATGTTGCAATAATGTAAATCCCTTGATGTGCTAGGTATGCACAGATCAGTAAAATTTTTCACTGGGGTGTGACATTCTTGGAATTCATTAACTGGAGGGCTGGAAACTTACCAATATTGAATTAATTGGTAAATTATAAACTGATTAAAACCTATTAGCAACTGTCTCCATTAAATACTTGGTAATATTATTGGATATGATTTTAAGGTAACTTTATATTGCTTAAAGATGTGTTGAAGCTTTTTGCCTTCTAATTTTAGAACAAATGTGAAATTTCAAATGAACTCCTTTTTATCCTATAGGAGAAAAGGGAATTGATTGGCTGACAAGTTAGCTCTGTCTGGAATTTTGCTATGGTGCAAGTAATGGTGAGCCATGAGCTTCAAAAACCACAAGGCTTGAACATTTTCTTCTCCTGGAGAACAGGTCCTCTGCATTTGAATACATGATTCACATATAAGTGAACCTGAATAATGACATATACCCAAATTCAACTTGAGGGCAGTTGAGTTGGCATGAACCTGGTTGATGTTCTTGGCTCCAGAGTACTTTGAGTTTGGGATTTTTAGATCCTTTCCCATCTTAGCCTTTTTACACTCTGGAATTCTGCATACTGTTGACTGCTTGGTGCTTTTTTAAAAGTGGATTTGAAATCTTCAGTGTATCAAAATATTTCCAAATGTTGAAATAACTGGGCTTCTATTCATAGATTTTATTACTCAAGATATATATTAATGAATTGGCTTATCTGGCATTAAGTCTATCTGGAGGATCTTGTTGATTCACTGGTCTAGTGGTCTCTTCTTTCTCTCCCCAAATGTGCATGAGTACACCAGGCAAATCCAGATTGACTGACTTGCTGATGTAGAGCTACTTGGTTTCCTTTGCACAGCCACAGCAAAGGAAGGCAGTGAAGGGTGACTATCTACTGTGGGAGTGTGCATATTAAGGATAAATAGATCTACACTGCCAAGACTTGGGATGCATTTTGATGTGATATCTTAAACGAGTAGTTCTCCTATAATGTGATAGCTGTGTTCTTGTGTGACCTCGTGCTGTAGAAAATAACATTGGTAAATGGCTACACCTGTACACCAGAAAGCTTGTTCAAACAGTGCTACTGTTCATCAATTGCATTACAGCCAATTCGCACTAACGTTATAGCAGAATTACCTGCACTTGCAAAATTTCAGGACTGTTGGACCTGCATGCCCTCCTGTTCTAGCAGTGAAATAAGTTAAGCAGCCATTTTGAAACCTGCTTAAAATGGCTTTATTTTTGATTTTTATTCAGTGCAGTAGCTGGTATGTTAACATCAATTAGTTTGTCAAAATGGTGGCAGGTATAGCATCAATGTGACGCTTTTCATATTGAGATTAAGCTATGTACACTTGTCTAAAAATGAGTGTAGAAAGTGTTGCTTTTGGTGGCAATCCTAAGCAAAGTATCCCCAGTAGGAGAACAACTTGGATGCTTGCTGACTTGTGACAAACCCTAATGTCCTCATGGACATATAAAACAAGACCTGATTGGTTTGAACAAAACATTTCCTTTTATGGGACAGATGTTTAATGCAGCTATACTGAAATATTAACTGGTTCACCAGCCAGCATGATCTCTGTAGAGACAACTTTTTAAGTTTCACTTAATAGCAGAAAAGGGTGATAACAATTTTGCATGTTGATATTTTTCACAAATCTTAAGCGAGAGTTTTTTGGTCTCCTTTATACTTGGCTCACATTGCACCTCCCATGGAATTAGTCTTTGTAGCAACAGTCCATAGTTGCTGCCATTTTCTAATGGATTCCTGTTTCCCTGCTGCTTTAAAACTTTAATATCTGACCCCAAGTGATTTTCTCTATTTGGGGTGATTCTTAACTGAATTTCTGGTCCTTCTCCCTCCTGTCCTGGCAAGCCTCTTAATCTTTGGGGATTGCAGGCTGTGTCCCTCCATCTGGCTGTGGTAACTTGCACAACCAAACCTCCACAACTGGTGTATATAATATTCAATGATCTTTAGGGAAGCTTCTAACATCTTGATGACTTCCTGTGTCCTTTACCCCTTAGCAATGTGAAACTCATTAACCTTTTTGAATTTGGGTGGAAGTGCTAATTAGCCATTCTAGATTAGTTCACTTTCATCTTGGATGTTGTAAAGCACAGCTGCTTGCAACTTGATGCACATGCCTTTCTGGCGCATCCTGAGCCTATTCATCAAAACTTCATTTCAAAGCAAACAATCTGAAGAAGGGTCCCAACCCGAAAAGTCAACTTTGCTCTTTTTGCCTGGTCTGCTGTGTTCTTCCAGCTCCATACTGTGATCTCAGACTCAGCAGTTCTTGCTATCCCCAGTCTAAACTTTGCTTTTTATATCACTACAGTAAGTGTCTTATGTTGGGTGAATGTTAGAACAGGTCACATGACCAACTTTAAAGTTAGTTCCAAGCCTCAATTGTAAATGGGCCACGAGTGCTTAATTGATTTTTTTTTTAAAGTTCACTGATCAGCTGTCTGGTATTGGTTACCATCTAATCTTCAGATTATCTCTCTGACCCTTGCACCTGCCCCAGTACTCCTTTTTGATTCAATAAATGAGCCAGAAGACTTTTAAAAACAGCTATTGAAATAATCTTGTCTTGATCTGTTTTAGCAGGCTTTTGCCTGGTGGTTGCAAAGTGTCACTTTGAATCTAACTTGCTGAATCAGGTTTTGAGTTCCATTGGACAATGACTCAAAGCTCCCCCTATATTGGGGTATAAAAGTATGGACAGTCAGCAGTGAACAGAATGAAGACTGAGTTTGAGAACCACTTGTTTAGCATAGAAGTATGACTTTGCAAATTGGTAGAGAAAATTAAATTTTCTGTCCCACATGTGCTGAAAAGTTTGTTAATGCCAAAAGACTTAGTTGATTCTGCATTAAATTGGGGGAATAACCATCTGCAGCCCAAGTGGGGTCTTGCTGTTAAAGATCCTCCTTTTTTAAATGTACTTTATCAGGTTGTCTTCTGGCTCTCCTGTTGCCTTTTCCATCTGGTAATTCAATTGTTGTTCAGTCAGGGTAACCATCTGGGAGATGAAATGTCTTGTCTTGTCTGTCTCTGCCATGTTCTTTAAGCATTGCTGCCCAGTCCTATGTAGCAGTACTTTGAGACAATGATATGACTTTAGATTTAGATTTATTTAATATTGTCTTTCATACCTAGGTACAGTGAAGTGCATAATGTCACCATGTTCTGGTGCTGTTTTAGGATTACTAAAATTGCATATTTAACAAAACTGGTTAAATTAATGACCATTTGAATAATGGAACAAGATTGAGATTGGCAAGTTGATTCCTGTTACAATTTTAAAGCCTCTTTGCACCCATTTTTTCAATTGTTGCTACACTTTCACAACACTTGTCTATGAACTCTCCCATTAGGCAACATTCACATGGTTGCCAAGTCTTTGATTCATGTACTTTATAATCAAGATTTTGCACATGAACACTTCGAGAAGTGGTCTTCATAGTGTCTAGGTACTGGAATTTGGGTTATCAGCTGTGGGTTACAATATTCAGGTTTGTGGACACTGTTCGAAAGGTGTCAGTTGAGAAATGTGGTAATTTTAAGTGACTTGTTATATTAATGGCAGAATAGACTTGAGGATTAAATTGCCCATATCAATTCCAGTTACCTTCCACAACACCATGTTCTAAACAGACTGATTTCTGCCATCCTCTTCAGATTATTACAACCACTTTCTAATCTAGTTTCTCTGCTTTAACTGACCAATAGCTGACCGTTTAACTTGACATAAATATGCTACTACTCTTGAGTCTCTACCTTAAGTGGACATTTGCTTATGGGACTTCAAAGTTGAGTCTAATGCTACGCTTTCATTCTTTTGTTTTTTCTCTCCTATAATATATTGAACTGTCCAACTAACTACACTTCTCCAGTCCAACCTGGCAAAATTTTTCAAATGTGATCAACATCAGTCATTGGCTACCAATTCTTGTGATCTGTGTTGTTCATAAAGGTCCTACAAACCAGTTGGGTAACCACTTCAATAGACTCTAGAACTGGATTAACAATCCAAAAGTAGACTTCTCTCTAGTAGATCATGGAATTGAATTCTAGACACTTATGGGGTGGCACTTGCAGAACTGACTATTGTGGCTGCTGGCTAGTGTAGAATCAACTTGTCTGTTCACTGGATATGGGCATTGCTGTATGGACGAACATGTTAACTTTCCCCCCAAGAGCCTGTAATATTCTGCAGAACACTGTCCAGGACATTAGCATAGATGCTATCCTAAATGTGAATAATGGGACTACTGCATATGCTACAGTTAATCATCACAGATCCAGAAAGAGACATCTAGTGATGCCAGAGATAGTAGGAACTGCAGATGCTGGAGAATCTGAGACAACAAGGTGCAGGGCTGGATGAACACAGCAGGCCAAGCAGCATCATAGGAGCAGAGAGGCTGACGTTTCAGGCCGAGACCCTTCATCAGAAAAGGGGGAGGGGAAGGGGAAGGGGGTTTTGAAATGAATAGGGAGAGTGGGAGGCGGATAGGTGGAGAGGAAACAACAGGTTGAAGAGGCAGGGATGGAGCCAGTAAAGGTGAGTGTAGGTAAGGAGTTAGGAAGGGGATAGGTCAGTCCAGGGAGGACGGACAGGTCAAGGGGGCGGGATGAGGTTGGTCGATAGGAGATGGAGGTGCGGCTTGAGGTAGGAGGAGGGGATAGGTGGGAGGAAGAACAGGTTAGGGAGGCAGGGACGAGCTGGACTGGTTTTGGGATGCGGTAGGGGAGATTTTGAAACTTGTGAAATCCACATTGATACCATTGGGCTGCAGGGTTCCCAAGCCGAATGAGTTGCTGTTCCTGCAACCTTCGGGTGGCATTGTTGTGGCACTGCAGGAGGCCCAGGATGGACATGTCATCTGAGGAATGGGAGGGGGAGTTGAAATGGTTCGCAACTGGGAGGTG